ACCTCTCTGACTGTCTCTAGCTTCCTTAACTCCAGTTATGCACTTGCAGAAACACAAACATTTAAAATACAAATCTGTGCGCTACATATTATCATTATATTTATTATCTAGTCATCAAAACCAAACCTATGACTGAAGAATTTCAAATAGTATTACTGGCTATTGCAGCTTATGTATCTGATAGTGTTAAAGTTCCCTGTTTATATTAAATGAACACAACCAAATGCACCTTCTTCATAAGCTTAAATGAAAAGTAATGAAGACCTTTCAGACAGTGAAGCAGCTGAAAGTATACTAAAAGCTACCTACAACAGGAAGGCAGTCAGGTATCTATTTAATGGTATGCAGCACTTACATAGTTCTTTTTATACATAGCATATTTACTCATAGAGAAGAGTAGTAGTTTTCCCCATTTGAATATCACATATACACTTCTTTTTCAGTACGCATTGTATAAAAGGCACTTCCAAGGAATTAATAAATAATATCTCCTCTGCCCCAGCACAGATTTATACATAAAAGAAAGCTCAGTGAGATAAAATTAATATCACAAAGCATGCTCTTAAACCCAAATACCTTTAAAGCCAAAAAGATATTAAAGGATTATAAAAGTAAGTTACCATATGATTCATTTTAAAAGGAAGTCTCTTCGCTACAAACTCCTTTTATATAAACAGCAGATAGTTGACTGGCTGGCTTTTCCATATGCCGCTATTTGTAGTCTAAGTAGGATTTCCATTACTGAACTAAAGAGTGCCTTTTGAAAATAAAAGCATACACTCTATCCTGGGTTAAGCTTTCAAAAAGCTGTCTTCCATATATCCTGGGGTAAAACTGCACAAATACAGCAAATATTTTAAAGGAGGAATGGACTCTCTGAAGAATAGTTCTTCAAACACTGATCTTCAGACACAGCTTGATGTGAATGCTTGTGCAGAACTCACTTTCAAGTAAACACCTCACCATCTTTTGTTGTCATGACAACAAGCGATCTCACTCTCTATTCGGATGGCACAGATAATTCATAATCATATTGCCCAATTATGTCCACCTTAAAATGAGAAAACACATGGAAGACACAACTGCAAAACAGTGCAGTTGCCTCTGAGCAAGCCCCAGTGAGCATCTTGTTCTTCCCTTCACATCAGTAACTGCACTGGCTTCAGTGGAGACGCTCCTGACTTGTAGGACATGTAGGCTGTGATCCAGTTATCCATAGTCCAGTGCCATTTTGGGTGACCTTGCTCGACTTTCAGCTGCCAGCTGAGGAGGACATGAGTCTCACGCTGTCCTGTGTCACATCTAGCAGCCCCAGTGGACACCACACATAATTTAGGGAGTCTTAACTGGCAGTAGGGGATGGACGCCTCCAGCATCACTGCCACAGTCCAATACAATGATATACTAACACATCCAAATCTACAAACCAACATTGCTGTGTGACAATAACACCCTATTTCATACGTACATAATCTAATCCTACTTCTATTCAAACCATGTTGTAAGTGACCAAAAACCTAGCTAAAGTTGTAAACAAAAGTCTTTCCTTGGATTTCTGGGGGCGATGGATGGTGAAACTGGAATACCATCACTGACTTCAATGATAGTAAATTGGAAAGGAAATAAAATATACCATCATTGCCTCAAACTAAAAGAAAGAAGAGCCAATAAATACAACTGCAGCGACCCATTTATTCTTTGAATGTTCACCTTTGACTAAGACATTTGTGCTACAAGAGGCTGAGGTATAAAACACAGGAATTTAGGACGCTGACCTCAGCATATGGGGTCATCACCTTTCCCAATTAATGTTTCCACGAGTTTGTAATGAGTTTAAACACTGCAAGTGAAGCAGCCGCAACATCAAGACAGCTTTTAGGTTCACCCTTCCTTTCAGACCGCTGCTGAAGAGCACACATGCTTCCTGACCCAGAAGCTTTCTTCTCTATCAGCAGGAGCATTCCCAAACAGAAATTCACTTCCAGTAGTTCCTCTCCCGGTCTTTCCTTTCAGGCTTTGTCACAGCCTGGAAACTCAGATGTTTCAGCTGAAGGAAGGACAGCACCTGAAAAGGCTCCAAGTAACTGTGTAGCTTTACAACAACAACCTAAGGAGACTTTTAAAAGCAAGTCAGCCATTCAGAATCACTGCTCACTACCTCTGCTTTGCTTCCTACAATTTATTCATTGCATTCAAAAGCAACAACTCAAAGTACACTCTAAATGAAATATTTTGTTGTTTTTTTTTTTCCCCTCAAGTGCACTCATAAAGTTTTCTGACTGGCAGACCTGGAATCCGCTTTCTATTTATCCATAGAAAATGTGCAGGATAGTTCATGCGCACATAACTAATCCCTCTTTGCACTGGAATTGACCCAGAGGAGATGCTCTCAATACAGGAAGGTTTCTAACACTGCCCCATCACTCCTGGAGGCTGACACAATGATTTATAGCAACTAATAAAGGCCAAAGGCAAAGCACTCTGCTTTGTTGGAAGCACAGGGCTGACTGATGCCACCGCTGAAAGCTGAAGAAATCTGGGAGGTCTTACTGTGCTTTCCAGTCTTGGTTTTGTCACAATGAACAACTTCCTATCTTTACAATTGTTCAGCCTTGTAATTGGAGACTTTTCACACAATTCCAACTATTTTTCCACTGCCTTCCTGATGT